TGAGCGGAAGCTCATAGATCGGAACAAATTTTCTGCAGATGGCTCGCTCTTTACCTGAAATGCTCGTAGATGGACCTGCTCCTCACTCGAGGCTCCACTGTGTACCCTTGAAAAACACACTGCGCAAACATAGTTCGGCCTTCTGGTGTTATTTGGACCTCCAATTTTCGACAAAATTAACTGGCAGTGGAATATCTACGTGTGTTGTAAAAGGCACATTGCAACTGCGCAGCGATTGTTGGCGCAAAAAGAAACCACACATTAGTGTTATGTTCAACGGCAAGAATGCAGACTTTTACAAAAACAGTAGATCTAGCAGAGGACGTCTTAATTTGTTTGAAAAAAACAGTGTGACGTACTCCCAGAAACCGAATGAGAAATGCAGGACTATCTAGTTTTGTTTTCTGAAATGCCACCTCTCTTTCTTGAAGTGTTTTCCACTCTGATAACGCTCAGTCTAGGAAACCTTAATTGCTTATAAGTCGCTTTCTGCTCTATTTGAGGAGATGGAAAAACCATTCCATTTTCGTTTTAGATTGTTCCTATCCAATTAAATTTTCGAAACAATCGTAATATAAGATTCGATTAACTATAAATCAAACCTGTTGTTAAAGCGTATGCGAGTTTCGGAAGGATAACTAAGCTGCTAATTTTACTGTACAAAAGTAGCGGAAGCCCAAATTTATATTATTCTTCTTAAGGAATGTTTAGTAGTTCCGTGGGATAAAAATTACCTGTGACCACTCCTGTTGATTCTGCTCCACATGGTTAGCAATATCCTCAAAAACAGGCGGTGTTACTTTCTGCAGACAAAGAACATCCTTCCAGTTGGCGTCTGAAAGCCAGTGGACAGGTTTGGGAATCTTAGCGTCTTCCAGTGAGACGTCACCCTTGATAAAGAAGGCAAATTCCTCCGGGAAAGCCCGTCCCAGATCGGCTTGCAATTTTGCCGCTATCTGGAAACTAAAAAGTAGTTTGTGCCGTTCGAAGATGCCTGGCAAAGAAGGAGAAAATAGTAGGTGAGTAAGTCATAGTTAAAAGGCGAAAGATAAAATATGATGTGTGCCCATGGCAGTGGAGTTACAAGTAAGGGCTGTTGAGGATACACGCATAAAGAAGCACGACCCTATGTTACTGGAAAAGTGAATGAAGTCCGAGAGAATCGTCATGATCACTGGGTATGGTTGATTAAAACCCTCAACTCGGACAAGAACTCACATGCCTTTCTCTCTCTCATGTAGTTCAAATTCACGTTAATCCTGGGCTTTTCTCGGTCTAAAGACCACCCTAGGCATCTTGAGCGTTCACTACTCTGAATTTGCCCCTGAACTGCCGGAGGGTTGACCCACGATTAGGACCGATCTGCTAATGACAGTGACAGAGGTCATGATGATGAATGCTGTTGCTGTCAACCTGAATTGACTGCTTTACCCTCAAGGATTTTCCTTTCTTATCAATTTGCCTATTTAGCGTTCGAGTAATCAAGGCACCTTTTCACTAATAATCTTTTTGCTGTGCGTTTACTTTCTCATTGGGGCCTGTAGGCCGGAGGAGGCATCACACATGCGCGCCATTCTGTTAAGCGGTTATGTAGGACCTCTGGACAAACAGAAGGCTTCCCGAGAAACTTTGGTAGCGTGTAGGCTACTTGTTTGCCAAACTAAAATTTGATTTCACCGGCCCAGATGTGGTTACTGGAGTGAAGCTAATAACGAAGATAAATTGATCGAGTTCTAGCACTAAAAAACAACCCTCAAGATATTCTTACCTCAGTGCGCACTGAGTCAGTCTTGGCCTATGATTTAAGCAAAAAATGAAAATTCCAGGGATCAGTTGAGAGGCAGGAGACGCGAGCGCTGTTAACAAGAACTGCGCCCGTCACACGTTTCGGATTCAGGCTAAAAACCTCTGCGACTTAATACACTTTTGACTTCTGCCCCTTCT